ATAGAGTTCCCTTGGCTTCAGGCTAACCGTGGAAGATCTTCGTGGTTTCATCTCCATGTAACTTAAATGGGGAGTATCAATTGGGGACCATCAAAATGTCTCCCAATACTTCTTCCAGGATCCAATATTCTTTTTGAAAAAAAATATAACCCTTGTGCCAAAATGAAAATATTTTTTTCAGTTATTATAAAATAGAAGACAGCTTATGAGAAACTAAACTTTGTTGAACAATAAAGAAGTTATTTAAAAAAAGCATCTTTGTGTTTAAGTAATAAGAAATTTTAATAACATAATGGTTTTAATAAATAAAAATAACAGGAAAAACATCTTTTACTAGCATCAAATTCGTACCCCCCATCTATTATTTAATTGAATGTGATATTTTATTTCTTAGTTACTTTTAAGAAATATGAAATAAATAACCAGCTAGAAAAAAAAATAGATAAAAGAGATTCCTGTTAAATGAAAAAAAAAATCTGCCAAACTACTGGTGGTTAGAAAAATGAAATATCTTCGATTTTTTTTATCTTTTATAAAATGATCGAAACAAATAAAAAAAATAAGTTAATTGATTTATGAAGAAGTACAAAAGAAGTTCCAAGAAAATCAATCAGGATATATAAAAATACCTTTGTTCCTTTAAATTGAAAAAAAAAGAAACAGTTTTACATTTCCTTAGGATATCTGTTTTAATTAAAAATCATTCTTGTTGTTTTTGTAATAAAATCCATTTTTGTTTCAAATGAGAATTATTCCTTTCTTATTTAAATTTAAATAGAATAAATTTCGTTCATTAAAACAAAGATTTTTTATGAATATTTGAAAGCAAAAGAAAAAAAAAGAAAAGAAGAGGAAGAAGATTCCCTAAAAGGAAGTAATTAACGACAAAACATTGGAGTCTAAATCGCAAGTGAAATGATTCTGACACATAATTCTAAATTTTATAAAAACAAATTTCTTTTGGTTACAACAATATACAACTACTTTTGAAATAAAATTTCTTCACTTTTCTATCTTTTATGAACCCGCTTTGCTAATAAGCTATATAAAATTATAACAGTGCAAAATTATTTTGAATTTGAATAAACAAATCCGTTTAAACTTCTTTGATGTTTTTCATTTTACAAGAACTCTTCAAATTTGTCACACAATAATCCCCATCTATATTAGCTATTTTTCGTCAAAGTTTATGCAGCGTTTGTTTAAAATAAAACTAGCTAAACTCTAATTTAAAAAAAAAACTCAAACGCTTTTTTTCTAAGTAGTAGACTGAATATGATTTAGAGTCTCCTTGCCATCCGAATAAGTTTTCACGGTTTTCCTCTCCCGATTACTCAAATGCGTGTTACAGATAAAAAGTCCTCAAAATGCGTGTTACATGGAAAAGTTCCATCAAAAAGATCCTCCAGATAGCCAAATTTCTCCCAATACTTGATCCAACAGTTACCTTGGTTTCTGGATTTGTTCAAAATTACAAGGCTGCGGAGTAGCAATCGTAAACTCAAAATTTGAGTTCATTGACGGTAATAAAATAACAGAAAGTTGCAATATACACATGCAGAATGGTCCAAAAGATAAAGATATTAAAGTTGTTTTCTTCACTAGGGGAAACATCAGAAAGTTCGATCTGCACTTTAGGTCAAAATAATGCTAAACGTAAGGGGCTGCGTTTCGTTTAATTTTTAATTCCTCTAAAGTGCATGGCAAACTTCGCAAACCATGAATAAAGCAAAACAGCAAGAGTAAAGTACAGATAACGAAATTGTCATACTACACTTTCAGTTCCGTAAGCAAGAACTGCCTTCATTCTCTAAGCATAAAATATCAGTTAAAGAGTAACAAAACAAACTCCAAACACGGTGATACAGATTCAAAGATGGGAGATAAGAAACAAGTGTGTGAGAACTAGCCAGAAAACCTTCGGCAAGAACCCACAAAATGTAGGAAAATTAATATGATCCGGATTCAAAACGTTGGAAAAGGATGGGATTGTAGAAATAACTAATTAGAAAAACTATAAAACTATAGGACGAACCAATTAGAATTTTGTAAAATATGGAATGACACCCAAAAATCAAGGCCGTTACACGAAATTCAGAGATGATTAATTTTAGCAGAATAAAAGTCGAAAGAGATGAAAACCTTTTATTTATTTCTAATATTATCATTTATTTTATATTTCGAACCAAAAGAAATGCCATACTCCCGTTTGTATACCACGCTTTTAAAATGTGCTTTGATAGTTATCTCTTCAATGAAGAGCTTCTTTACCTAAAATAATTGTCATTTACAGTATGTTCTCTTTCTTATAATATTGAATTCAATTATAGAAATTTAATGGCGCAATTCAACACACCCTCTAATTTGAATTTTAAGAATTTGTTTTTTTTTGTTTTTTTTCTATCCGAAGAGCAGTAACTTAATCTCTAAGATTTCGAACAAATTTAAAGTAGTTTTTTCCACTGTACACAAACTAAAGTTCATAAATATTAAAGACTCTATTGCTGATATTACTATTTGATACATTTAACAAATCTCTTGTAGGAGTGGCCTTGTATATAATGAATTAACGAAACGTACAGTGATATTTCGACTTAAATAACTTGAAAATATGTCCCAAATCAGGATATTGAACAATCTTCCATCGACCTACATGGTTGAAAGTCTAATCATAAGTTTGAATATTCTTCTGCTCAAATCATTCAACACTGCTCACCATTTTCCCCTTTTAATTTTTGAGATTTGTTGTTGTTAATTTACGTCGCACTAGAGCTGCACATTGGGCTATTGGCGACGGTCTGGGAAACATCCCGGATGATCCGAAGACATGCCATCACAATTTTGATCCTCTGCGGAGGGGATGGCACCCCCGCTTCGGTAGCCCGACGACCTGCGCGCGAAGTCGAGCACTTTACGGTAGCACAGTTTAACGAGGACCAATACCGCACACCCTCGGTCCCTACGCAGACTGATCCAAGTGGTAACCCACCAGCACACTGACCGTAGTCAGTGATGCTTGACTTCGGTGATCTGCTGGGAACCGTGTCTTAACAATCAGTCCACTGCGGGACTAATTTTTGAGAATCAATTCATATTTTGAAAGATTCTTTAATTTTGTTAATGGTCTTTTTACTATCCAATACTTTCTCAATGCTTGAAAATATGTTCTCCTTAACTTAATTACCTCGTTTAATATTATCCTCCTACTGATTAAACGAAATTGCACGCGTTGATTCCGTTACTTTTCTACAGCCATTTGGTGTTGACACTGAGGGAAGTTTTTGTTTAAAGAACTGATAGTGTAGCTAGTCTATTTCTATACCTTTATTTCTGCAAGTTATTTTACTTTATGCATTAATAGCACAAAGTATATCTGAACCTCATTTAGACTTCATCACCAGTTGCATGAAGTATTAACTGATTCAGGTTTTCTCTCTTCACTTGCTTTATTTGTCAGAAATTATGTTTCAAATTCTATTCACCAGATGAGGCAGTGTAATTTCATCGATAAGCTCAGAATTAATTACGCTAGATTAAATCTGAAATTTATTCTTGTACACACCATTTAAATAAAATACACAAGAGATACTGAACCGATTACGTTTTGTACATAGCCGCTTGGCGTACATACCACGAACAATTAATTTTAAATGAGTCATGATGATGCTTTGAGTTTGATTCTTCAATTGAGTTTAAATTTTTTTGATTAATTTTAAATGAGTTATGCTTTGAGAAAGAGTTAAAGTACTCTTTCTATTTTGATTCAGCAAGTCCTTTTAAGATAACTTATGTCTGATTCACTATTTTTAGTGATGAAAATTTTTAAGTAAGTGAAATTTTTATTATATTAAACTCTGTCAAAATTTTTAAGTGGTATGGTAGCGCATTGAAGAATCATTGTTTTAGTGTCTCGTACGTTACAGACATAAGATTTATATTAATATTTCCAACATTATTTTTTGAAAAAAATGGCATTTATTTTGAGTGTTTGAGTATTCTAAATTCAAGAAATATAGATGTAAATATAGTGGATTCAACTCATTTCGATAGAACTTTTATTTAGAAAACATTCTTATCACACGTACATGACGTAGAGTTAAGGAATGTTTGTTTATGTTTTTGTACTCGCATTAATGGACACTATTTAAAAATGCATCTTTAAGTGTTATCTTAAAGTAACCTAGTACATGAAAGTTACATTATTTTAAAAAAATAAACCAAATGTTACATACTGGCGTAATGCTAAGCACGTATCCTTTCATCACTTTTGCGTAAAAAATGGATATGGAATATTTAGACTCTCTGGCTTTTATTCCTCTACTTGTAGACATCAATTTATACCTAACTAATTTTTCATTAAAACTATTATTACATTTAACGTTACATAAGTGTTACATAAATAAGAAATATTTGTATGATTTTTCTTATAATATTACCAAAATCATTTTTTTACTTTAAAATATACCAAACACAAAGAGATTCAGTGAAGTAACAAAAAAGTAAAGCATAAACGTTTAAGCTAATTTCCTCAAATTCACAAAGTAATCAATTAACTCTTCACGTTTTGAAATTTTATTGCAATTAACTTAGTTTATAATACATAAAAACATATTATTCACATATTTTAAGTTCCATCTTACGCAATTTAGATTTGCCATTTTTTTTAATTTCTTAATAATAAATTAAATCTGTTTGATTTATTTGAATTGGTTTCGGCTGAGATCGTAAATTATAAATTACTATAGAAAAATTTATTTTTAATGTAAGGAATTAAAACTAATATAAAATAATAAAGAAAACATCAATAATAAAAAAAACATCAATAATAAAGAAAACATATGTAAGTGCAGTCAATCTTACTCCTCTTGAAAGTCAAATGAGCTTTGATTTAAATGCCTTGCTTTGTAAACATTACTTTTTTTTGACGTTTATAGACATGTGTTTAATATAGCCATTGTTAATTGTTTTGGAGTTATAAACATTTTATAAAGAGGGCAATAAATTATCGCAAAAGTAGGTATAAAAACATTAGTTATGCTCAACACAAATAATTATTAATTTTTATTTTATTGGTAAGCTTTGTTTTGTAGTTTAAACTTTATATTCTGTTCAGAAGAGTTGTTTTAATTTAGCTTCACTGACGTAAACAGATATAATGCTGTGTTTTAATATTTTGAAAAAATTATGAAAAATAAATTTTGGCACAATTTCATATTTCTTTAGTTTTCATAGTTTCGTTCATCGAAAATCTGCAATTTAAATACGTAGTAACTTTTTAAAGGATTTTGTTCAATGAAATTCAATTTATTAAATTGAGATTAGTTATTTGGTTTAAGTAATTTTCGGACTTAATTGAGAGAAAAATAATACATTCGTGTTAGCATTGTTTTTCTTTGTTACTTTAAATCTGAAATTAAGTTGGTTTTCGAAAAAGAGTAGCCTTTCTCTCCCCCTTCATAGTTAAATTTTATATCTAATTTAAATCTTCATAAAAACCTGTTTCATTCACTGTATTTGTTTAACAAATGCATAATACTGATTTTGCTGTCCTAAAATAAGATGTAATATAGTATTCAATATGGCACTATGTGACTATCGCCACTAAGCTTCAAAATTAAATCAATTTAAACAGTGATCTATTTATCTAAAATAGTGATGAAGTACGTTTTTTTCTGAAAAAGGAAATGCTGAAGGTATTAGATGAATTGCCGTTAAATTGCGACTCGGGAGTCTCAAATGATGTTTTTGCGATTTGAGAGAGGCTTGTATTTGGATTAAGTACGGGCTTAGTTAGATTTTTGATTAGTTAGATTAAAATAAAATTTTCGACCTCATCATTAGACCAAGAGATGCTTTTTTCAGATATTTTGCATTGTATGAAAAATAAAATAAGAGTTAATTTTTGTTTAGCTTTCTCAAAAAATAAGTTAGCGAGATCGAAGGCCTTTTTGCAAATCAACCAAAAATTCCGTTCGAACCGAACCGTTCTTGAAACGAAAATTTATTTTTCAATAACATACACTAGTGTGTTTGATTTATGAATTATTATTATAATTGTGTATGAAATAAAATGTTTTTTATACTTTTAGGTTATTGTAAAATACCAAACAAAACATGAATTCTAAGGCAATATCGATGATTTTTCTAGTTTTTTTCCTGCATTGTTACGAAGGGAGCAAAAGTAATTATTTTGCTTTTTTTCAATTAAAATATTGATATAATTTACTTTATTTTCTTAGCTTCAAAACTCTTCTGCTTTTGAATATTTTAAGCATTTGTTTCGATCATGAGAATGAATAATGTGAAATCCAAATAAACAAACTTTTGAAATTTTAAATCCTTGAATATATATTACTAACAATTACATTTAATGTATATTGTTAGTAATAATTGTATATATANAATATCACATTAAACATATCTATGATTTAAAAAAATATTTTTAATGGAAGTCTCATTATTATTGTTCATTAAATCTAAAATCTTCAAATAAGTAATATAGATATATACTTATTATGGATCTATACATTTTATAAAACTATTAAAATCAAAATAAAATCATTGCAGAATATTTACTTTTTATATTTATGAAATATTTCTGCAAGGAATACGAAATTATAATCGAGATAAACGCGTTTTTAATTTAGAATTTTATTACAAATTGGAACTATTTGTGTACTGCTGAGCTTCAACACTGTAACACTTCATTTAACTTCTGTTTCTAATTTAATTCTCGTTTATCTAAAACATGGGGGTTTTTTCTACCAATAATTAGTTTAATGTTTAGAAATTTGAGGTATTTTTTTTCCACGTCTCCAGAAAAACTTGTATCAAATTTTACTCTTTTTTTCACCGTGTTTGACATCATTAAAATGAAAATATTTTTTTTATTATAATCATAAAAGAATAACTCATTATTTTAGTTTTTAAATGCACTTCTTTTTCACTAAAACGTTTTTCTTATTTTAGCTTTTCAAGAAAGCAGACAAAGTACTAGGTTTGTAGTAAATGTTTCTATTGTATCTATATATGCGTACATTTAAGATTAAAATAAACTTTAAGAAAAAGAAAAAAACAAATTTAAATTTAATAATTCCTTCTATTATTTTCGTTAGTCTTTCCCACAATTTATAATTCAAGTTTCAAATTTAGTTCCATGAATTAATTTAGAAAAATGTATTTATGCGTTATTTATTTTTAGACAAGCCATTAAAAAAGAACATTAGTTGAACCACTCCTGTAAAACTTTTTCAGAGGAAACCTAGTTACGATTATATGAGTCTATATTATTTAAAACAAATAAAATGATTTTGTATAATTGTTTTTATATATATGCCAAAGTAATATCAGCAAATAAATATAGAATTTTACGTACGAATTCGATTTATATCATGGGAAGAAATGAAACGTTTATATTACTCTTATAACTCTCGCCATTATTATACGTAATATTGTGTATCCAATACTATATCTCTAATTATTTTCATAAAAAAATAATTTGGTGGCACCCATAATGCGTGAACTTGTATTAAACCGTGCCACTATTAATTGCAGCTTTATCATAATCCATTACATTATTGTACAGATTTAGGGGAGAGTCGGGTAGCCCCGCCCTCTTAAGGAGTATTGCTTATATTTCTGCATAATATTGAGTAATACTCAGTATTTTTGTATGTTTTTATTGTTTTACCATCTAATTAAATAATGCAAAAAGAATAAACCAAAAAAAGAATAGTTTAACTTAAAAAAATGGAAATTTCGAAAAACATGTTTTTCAGCTCATTTCAAAATGTGTCGGGTAGCCCCACCCAGTTACAAAAATTATGTTTTTTGACTGTTTTTTCAGGTGTAAATGAAAGTGACCAATGTATTGACAATAGATAAACTTCATTTATCATTTTATCACAAAATTATTTCATTTATTACATATTTATATACTTTTAGTGAATTCTATAATTTAATAACAATCATTTAATAACAACAATATTTGTTGTCAAAAATGCATATAACATTCCAATGTGAAGCAATAAAATAATAATCTTTGCAACCCTACATTTATCGACGAAATAAAATTGGGCGGTGATACTCGACATTCATGTGAGCGGGGCTACCCGAAATCCAATTTTTTTGTAAATTTGCAATTATTCGAAAAATTTTTTAAATATAAACTTCTTTCTTTGTGCAAATTAAACTTAAGACTACTTACTTTAATGCTGTAAGTATAGAAAAAATTATTTCTTTAGTATTAAAATGAAGTTTAATCGAAACATTCAACCAATTTTTCTTAATTTCATGACTACTGTATTCAACATATTTTCAAAACTATTGTTTACCATATTAACAGCTGCATAAATACTTGAAACTTTGAAAATAATCTTTTTTTAATATAACAATTAATGTTCGATGGCGCAATGACTTTAAAAAATATTCTATACATATGAAATTAACTGTAGGCGGGGCTAACCGACTCTCCCCTAAGTTTTTCAATTTATCTTCTAGCCCTTTATCTATTGCGTTGCCTTGAAAAGAATTTTTGGTTTTAGAGAGAAATAGGACTCAATTTTCTCTACACAAAAAATGAATATTAATCAGTCCACTATATTTTATTCCATTCAATGGTCTTTTGCCATATACCTAGTAATTTCATGGTCCCACATTCTTAGAACTTCCAGTTCTTATCAGCAAAAAATCCAACCAAGTAAGTACAATTCAACCAAAAAAACTCAACTAACCGTTTAAAGTTATTGCAATTACCAAAACGTTTACCATACAAAAAGCTTCGCAAATTTCAGAATAAATAATTAACTGATGGTTCAAAGTCAGGGCTATTTGAGGGATTGGAAATTATTCGAGTTCTACCACGACAATGTCAAGCATCACACGTCATTACGTGATCACATATGATTATTGTAGATTGGTTAATAAATGATGTCTCTTATAAAGCCTCGATTCGGTTCAGTTTTTTGATGATAATGACTAAAAATTCTATTAGTATGAGATCAAGAAGTTAGCAAAAAGTATTATAAAAGATCATGAAACAGAACGGAAGATATATGACGGATTAAAGTTAATTTATTATTGTTGAAAAATTGAGTTTCATTTCACACTAAAAGAAAAAATTTAGCATCTTCAAACATTTAATGCATTTAAGTGTTTAAGAACACAAAATCACCGTACTTTCACTCTCTGTGTTACAACTGCTTAAAAATCATTCATTTAGTGCGGCAAGTCTTTGATTTATTTAGGCTACTTATTTTTTCCACGCACTTGAAGGCTCTTAATCCTTTGTTTCCCATTTATTTTAGCAATTAATGGTTTTGATCTGACGTTTCCACCCGCATTTCGTAGCAATACTTTAGATTTTTTGTTAATTTGCTTCTTTTTACACCATGAAGAATTGCTCGTTACAATACCAGAGTGAAAAATTTCGGTTCAGCTTTTATTTTTAGAAGAATATTTATAATTTATTATTTTTTTTGTTTCCAAAATCGCACTATAATTTCTTTTTTATATTGGTTAGTATTCGCGTACTATTAGTATTCTTTTTTGAATATCTCTGCTTCATTATGTACAGTTTTTGGAACAATTTTTTTTCTGACACCAACGTAATTTTTACTAACCTCTTTATATGCTTCAAAACCTATTCTCTAGTGCAAAAGTGTTTTTTTTTCTTTCTGCAACCATCTATCGCCCCATTCTACCATTCTATAATAATCGAGAACCAGGTGGCCTGGTTTGATGAGCCTGCCCCCTTTGAAGCTTGAAGCCTTTAAAGCAATTAATTATTTTGCTTAATACTTAGCACAGTATAAGGGAGATTTCTAAAAATATATTAATTTGGCTTATACAGTTAGCCAAAAAGGCGATCTTCGTTTTTATGTAATCAAAAGCTTTACCAAATTAGTTTTATTTTTCAAAGAATATTAAGGAAGATAAAATTGAGGAAAATTAAAAAAAGAATTGATTATATTATACTTTATCTGTTTTGCCACTAGTAGGGACCTACACCCCTCTGTTCAGAGTTGTTTGTCAAACCTCGTACCTTCACTCTAAGATTGCAGATTTTGCAAATGTTCAATGTGATGTTGTCTGATCAGACATATCAACGTCACACATGACTGATCAGACATAATGCTGGTGTCGTCTGACCAGAACTAATACCAGAAAATAGAATTGGAAAAGTAAAACATTTAATTTTCGAACATTATTTTATAAAACTGTGCTACTAGTTTTTTTTTCTTTGCTTTACTTTTTAACTTATAATTACAGTACTATAAGAAAAAACTTTGATCTATATATTTTGTCCGAGTATTGTCTAAATTAATGCTAGAAAATTTTTGTCTATGAATGAGCATATTGCTTAAACAAAAATATCAGACTACTATAAATAGACATCCAAGCTATTAGATCACGTGAAATACCTCTCTCTAGGACTATCCGGGATTGCCAGGTTCTCCTAGAGAGTTTGAGGATAGAAGGGAGACAAATAACACTCCAATGGATCCCAGGACATTGCGATATCTACGGAAATGAACAGGCCGATATGCTGGCTAAGAAAGGCACTTAAATAATTCAACAGCTTACATTCGGCCTTACATTCGGCAAAACTCTATATCTAACATTTTATGAAACAAAACTGGAAAGCGTTGCTCACTTCTCGTATTTCTTCAAGAAGTTGGAGGAACAGCTTAGAACAGGGCATTGCCGATAAGCCCCGCAATAAAGCTGTTGCAGAATTCAGACTAGCGGTGGGCCATGATTGCCTGGCGAACCACCTCTGCCGCATCGGCATTCTTGCTGACCCAAACTGCCCGTTATGCTCGAATAATGAACTTATAATGAACAGGGACCATCTATTGAGATGCTAGGCTCTGCGTGGGGACTCTGATGTGATGTGCTACTGGAGTGCCCGACATCTGTTATTGAGATAGTGACTTTTTTCTCTTACTTGTTGTTCACCTTTTTGTTCACTGTTTTTGTTAGAGTTTGTCTTTTCTCTTGCCATAAGAAATAAAATTTAAAAAAAACTATAAATAGACATTCGTGGGTTGGCGAGTGATAGCAAACAGGGTATATCATACTACCTATTATTATATAATGTATAAGAATATATTTTATAATTACCAATTATTTCTTTTAGCGACAAACATGATCAACTGATTGAAACAAACAATGCTGCTTCTCCATCCTTTAGATGTCCAGCTTTTTGTAATAAAACAAATGAACGGAAACCATCTGAAAAAGGAACACCTTATAAATTTACTTTGCAAGTATGCATGAAGTGCAAGAGAGAAAGGAGAAAACGCCAGTATGAATATTGAGATTATAATTTTTTGTCGAAATGTTTATCCTAGAATTTATAGTTAGTAACCAAGGTAGGAATTACTTTAATATTTCATTGGCATTCCAAATTTGATGCTGATAACAAAAAAAAATTTTGTAAACAATTTTTTTTAAAGTTTTCAACCCTATTATGCTTTCATTTGACATAGTGAAATATTAAACTTGCACATTTAAAATATTCCTTTACTTGCTTTATAAATTGAAGTTAACGTTTTGTTTCCATTTCATTGTAACTTACTCCAATAACAAAAAGAGGATGGAAGAGCAGAGTCGAGTGACAGGAGTAAAATACTCCTGTTGCGATTCCAGGTAGTTGTACAGTAACAGAATTAGAGTGTCCACTTCAATAAACAAGCTAATTAAATGCTAGCGTCGGGGGTAAAACATAGCGATTTTAATCTGTTACTTCAAATCAAGTGTTCTTTCTCGAAATATCTATCGAATGACGAAAGTGTGAAATATTTCAAAATAAAAAGATTTCTTATAAGCTATGAGCCATGGTTTATATTGCGTACATCAACTTTTCTTCCTATATGTGGCCATGTTTAAATAAAAAGTCGGGAAATCGTTCCGGATAAATTAGGAGAATTTGCACGTCATCTCACTTAAAAAAAGATGGGGCGTTGTTCCTGTATTAAGATCAAATGTTCAAAGCTACCTAAGAGAGGCGGATGAAGTTTGAAATGTTTTTAAGCAATTTTGTGTTTTGAAAGAAACTTAATTTTTACAACAATATTAAAGAAATATATTTTTTCTACAATCATTACTTTTTTTTTTAATTATTCTTAAAATTATTTTCTTTTCTTGATTCTTCAATTTATACCTCGAAATTTTCTCCTATATTATTACAATATTTGTTTACAAAAACCTTGTATCTCTATTAAGTGGAATTTACTAACAATTTAACTCTCGTTCTTATTAATAAGTCTTTCTTATTAATCAGTTCATTCTTATTAATAAGTCCCCATACGTAACCTCTCACTCTGCTTAGACAGATTGCGTTTGCTTCTTGGTTTTATTAAATTAATGTATAACAAAATAACAATGAAACTGCATTTTTCGAAATTATTCTGCTCAATTATGTGCAATCTTAGTTTTACCTTATTTTTTCAAGGAATTCTAGATGCAACTCGCTGTGTACTGGAGTGCCGAAGACTGAATTTTGCAGAAGATGCCGTTATGATTATATAAATAAAAAAGATAAAGAAATAATATGATTTTACAAAAAATATGATTTTATAAATACAAGATTATTTTACTACAAATTTTATTGGATGTGAATAAAACTTTCCATATGAATCTTTAATATAAATGTTTGGTTCCATTACAATATTAAGAAATGCATAGAAAATAAATTGAGTTTATTTAAGTGCAAATATTTTCTGTTAAACTATGAATTTTGTCAAGAAATATTATTCATTATAAAAAAAGATTCTGTATAAGCCCATTCTCACTCGTTAATTTTTGTTATATTATACGTTTTTGTTAATTTTCCTCCTCCGTTTGCTTTTGGCTTTTAAAAAGTACGTGATGACACGTAAATCATACAAATGTCTCACCTAAATATACGTCATTTAAGGCTACTACGATGTATGATCAAATTCAAGTGGAATTCCGAGTTTTAGATGATAAAAATAGGTATAATTAGAAATATTTTGGCGTGGTCGAAAATTTCATTGATTTAAAATATTTGTTTTTTCACTGAGTAAAATTACATCGAGAATCTAAATTGTTTTTTACAAAATAAGAGAAATGATGGTAACCATGAAGAGGAAAAATATTTACAATTGGACATGCTCTCATGTAAAACTTGATCAGCATTAAATTATACCGAGTTTTAAAAGTAAACTAATGGTTCCAAAAGCTTTATCAAAAATTTAATTTACAAAATCTATATTTTCCATTTTTGGAATTATTAATTTTGAAAATGACTAAATTTTTTAAAATACAAGTATAAAATAATCCATAACTTACAGTCATGCATCAAGCACAATTTAAAGAGCAATATTTTGGCAAAAGTTAAAAAACCGTAATGTATTGCATTATGCATGTTTTGGAAATTTCAAAATTGTACTTGTATATATTTTTGAATGTCGAGATATATAATTATAGCATTGTAATGTTCATGGTACCGAGTGAAATAGCGATTTGTATTTGGCCTTGAAGTAGTCATTTGGCTGCTTAAATGTAAGCGCTAGGAGGAGAAAATATAAAAAACTGTAGCAACATACAATTCAACGAGCATTTCAAAACATTAATTTATATTATTTTTAACTCGCCGACCAGACTGTATTGTGGTTAAGGAACTGACTTCACACAGAAAAATCCTGACTTCAAATCCCAGGCAAGGCAGAGATATTCTTTCAATCTCTGTACTATCTGTCCTTATGGAGGAAGAAAAGTTGGCCCTCCTAATATGATGCTCCAGAAAATATGGTCAACAAATCTGCCTTGCAGATACCTGAATGGCTAAAGTCCATCGGGTGAGCATTGCAGTATTTTTCAATAAATAGGAAATTGCCAAATGGCAAACCTATTTAATGAGTCTTTCAACATCTTTAATAATCATGATTGGTGGGGCAATACATGTTTTAGGTAGGGACATATGGAAGTACAGCAAATAAACCTTCATTCAAAGCCCTTCAACTTCCATTCAAAGCAGGAAAATAAATGTAGTCGAACCTTTGAAAGAAGAACCGAAGGCAAAAATATAGTATGAATTTAACAGGTTCAATAAGCGTTACATGTAAAGTGAATAGTTAAAAAGGTAAAAGAAATTATGTTCAGTAAGAGGAAAGTATTGCTCTGATGATAATTATACAGCATTCTACTCACATTAAAACGAATTGGTAGGATGTCTTTTATCTTCTTGCGGTGGTCAAACCATACTTTTACTTTTAATTATTATTTATTATCTACCTTGGTGTTAATTTCATCTGGTGTGAAAACTAATAAATATTTTGTTAAAAAAAACAAGGATGTTTCACATATCGATCACTCATCAAATCCGTGTTTGCTTCTCCTTCTGTATTGAAGATTAAAAAGAAAGTACGGTTTATGTCCTTTTTTACAAAAATTGTGATTGGATCAGCTGCATTTTGAGGATATCAATTAAGGATATGAATAATCCGTAATTGCAATTCAGCGGAATACATATCGGTTAAACAGGGTATTTTTCCCCCTCACGTTTAATTAAATAATTCTCGAACTAATTGGTAAATCTTACCTTTTTTTTATCCTGTCAAAATCCTGGCTCTTTTTTGCGCACATTTGCAATTTTCAAACACCAAGTTTCATAGATTTTGGGAAACAAATGCAAAATCTAACGTAAAAAATTTGCAATAAATTTTGAATAAATTTAAATTTCGAAATAAACTCTGTGTTAAGTCATTAACAAATATGGCCCATTTGGCATATCAAATTTTAAAACTATAATTGTATCCATGGTACCTGTAGTTTGGGCCGTATGTTATTTTTTCCTAAAAATTTATCAATTACTTATTCTCTAACTTAATTGAGTATTTACATCATTTTCATTTTACTGTACTCCATGAATTTCGACGCTTTCGTAGCTTTTGCGCATCAAAACGAAATATAAATTTATGTTGAACACCCATAAACAGTGGCAGTGGCTCTTACGATTTTTATATCGAGAGATAAATTTACTGTAAAATACCTGTGCGATTGAATACTTTCATCAAACTTACGAGTACTTTTTGATCATTATTTACTGTAAGTGTACTGTTCTTACAAAGTACGCATCAATATTCTACGAATTTTCAAATTTTATAGTTCCTCGAGAAAACTACCTGATTCAAAGTTGTTAATATAATTTTACATGCAGTCGCCAAAGTTGTCAGAAATATTACAATTATATTGTTTCAAAGTGAAATATATGTAAAAAATGCAAGTTATAGTTGAGTTTTAACTTTTGGTGCTTTACAGAAGAACACCAGTTTTAACAATATTTATTAAGCAAGAAAATAATTAAGATTTTTCTTTTTGTTTGATTTTATGTTTTGTTAAAAAAAAAGTAGAAAAAAAAAGTTAAAAAGTAAATAGGAAATAAACGCTAAATGTAGCCACATTATTTTGCGAGAATGTGTCTAGTCCAAACATTCCATATAAAATGTTTAATTATATGTTTAATACCAAAATATAACTTCTTGAAAACATATACTTATACATATTAAAATAACCAAATAACTGGATAATTTTTTGGAATTTAAGTTACTTATAGGCCTTTCAACATCAAAATAATAAGCTACGTTCAAACCTAGATTGCTTTTTCAAAACTTTTAATCAAGCCTTATTGAGTTGAGCAAAATCCAGTTAGAATCTCATAACAGAAATATTTATGACGATAAAGGTTTAGCACGCACTTAGCTTTCTGTTTTGAAACCCCAAGCTTAAGATTTCGCTTAGCCGACACCACTTAACGGTTTTGTCAATTCAGCTAAATGACAAAATTTTTATGCGAAAAAAACTACACATTATAATAAAAGATCTAAAATAAAACCACATAAAAATGCAGGCTACTGTTTTAGTTCTAAATACGGAATAATCGAAATACGGAATGAAAACACATAGATGCGAGCGAAAACTACAAACAAGTTGCAGCGAGGATAAAAGTGTTTTACCAGTAAGGCAGGTGAACAAGTTTTACCAATATAACTAAATAACAGAAGGGAGATTGGAAATAAGTGTTGAAATAATAGGGTGAAAAATAATAATAATAAATAATAAGGTGAGTAACCTTCAGTCTGTCCTGAACATTGCAGGAGCAAGAAGAAGCTAATAGGAATACGAAGGGTGAAGACTACTAATACGTTCGAATTAATATACCGTATATTCCGGCGTATAACGCGCACTTTTAATACAAAAAGTAACATTGGAGTTTTCGAGTGTGCGGTATACGCCGAATATAAAAAATTATAGATTAAAAAAACTTAAATATAGAAAAATACTTTTATTTTAAAGAAATGATATACCTTTACATATATACATTATTGATTTTTGTTATTACGTAAATAGTTCATATGTTCGTCTTCCGTTATTTCTTCAGGCACGTCATCACAATCTGTTTCGTCTTCATCATCTGTGTTACCCTCATCCCTAAATAAACAGTCATCTTCTGATCCGTCCAGATTGTTTGAAACGTTGCATTTTTTGAATGATTTTCTAACCATCTCAGACTTAATTTCATCCCATACTTTTAATATCCATTTGCACACTGTTTCCAAACTTGCATGACGCATATGTCCTCCTTTCGTAAAGGTTTTCTCGCCCTCCAACATCCAAGTGTTCCACTGTTTTTTTAAATTGGCTTTAAATGGTTTGCTTAAGCAGACGTCCAATGGCTGAACTAATGGTGTCAATCCGCCCGGAATAACTGCCATATCGGTGTTACATACTTTCAAAAAAATTTTTGTATTATCTGTAAGGTGGGACCAAAACATGTCCCACACTAAAAGGTTTTCTGATTTTCTATAGATACTAGACGAGATATTGCACATGTACAATCCAAATTTTCGTGCGCGTTATACGAAGAGTATATCTTAAAATTTAAAAAAAGTTATTGGAAATTACGGGTGCGCGTTATACGCCGGGGCGCGTTATGCGCCGGAATATACGGTATTTAAATTTAT